CCCACCCCCACCACCGTCAATGGTGTCCCGCTTTGCCAATGTTAAAATCTGGTCACCTTAGGGTAGGACTCAAGTGATTGCTGACTGCTAACATGATTTGAAATGTGGCAGAACATGGAATTAACTAACTTGGCAAGTCTTGGCACTGATGTTGGAGTTATGACCCATAACCCCCTTTCATGGAGCTGATCTAAGGCTGAATAGTAAGAAAGGTAGGAGGGTTGTTTTACAGGCTAGTCATTACTGAGGGAGGGGGCAGCTTTAGGGATCAACATTCCGAAGCCCCCCAGTATAAATAACTTAAAGGATCTTCTGAAGGAGAGGCAGGAGTAAAGGCTGGGTGGTATCTGAGAAGGGCCTCCATAAGTGTTGGAGGCAGTAGAGTCGAAAGGTGAGAATTCACCAGCCGTGAATGGGGGCGCCTGATCCCGTGACAAAGTCTCGAGAGAAGGGCAGCTCGAACCCTCCCGTCCACTCATGATTCTAGTATTCAAAAGCTAGCAGTGGGATAGGAAACCGCTGCGCTGAGACAAGGCGCCTCAGTAAGACTAAAGCGCGCGGGAAGTCCGGAGTTTTCCCGCCACGGCTGAGGACGCGGTTCGTGATGTCAGATCCCGGCCTACACAAACTAGCCGGTGGGCTCCGCCCTTAACGAAGATGGAGGCACGCGTAGGACCGGAAAGAGCTTTGGATGTCGCCTTGACCCTGATCCAAGGTGGAGGCAGGACTGCCCTATGAAGCCCTACCCCTTCCGCTATGCGACCGCGCGGAGTAATGACGTTACACCGGGCCGCCCACTGTCCCAGTCGGGTTTTCGAGTACTGGAGCGTGCTGCGTGGTTGGCGGTAGTGACGTGTATTGCCTGGAGGATGGCGGACGCCGGCTTTCGCCGCGTGGTTCCTAGCGACTTGTATCCCCTTGTGCTCGGCTTTCTGCGCGATAACCAACTCTCAGAAGTAGCCAATAAGTTCGCCAAAGCGACAGGAGCTGTGAGTCCCGGGCTTGGGGCGGAGACTGAGGTTGAATGACCGAAAGGCTACAGGGCCTGACATGCTTAGGTTTCCTCATGGGGAGGTCTATGGGGTCCATAAGTGCGCTCTACCAGGGTCTGCGAACTCTTTGCGTCGACTTCTCTGCGTTGACCAGAGACAGTCTGGGGTCTCCGTCCTTTTTTCACCAGGTCTGACTAGATATCAGAGTCTTTGTTTTTTATCCTGGTGAGTCGTACAGCGGCAGCAGCGTGGGAGCCTTCTAGCTCCAGGTCACATGGCTGGAGGAGTGCGGCGAGGAGCTAGCGCTGTGCCCCACCGACGACGCTGGCATCACTTGGTTCTTTCCGAGGGGCTTTTAGTTGGCTGAGGCAACGCGTGATTTGATTTTACCCTCGATCGCACGTAACCAGGACTCAAAGACAAATCAAATTACCTTAGAAATGAAGGCTGTGATTTTCCTTAGTAAAGAAAACGAATCAGTCAAGGCAGGGTTCTACTACTGATGCAGAGAAAGATTAACATATGGTAGCTTTACCAAGCAGGCCTAGCAATGGGCTTGGAGGTTGGGCTAATGGAATTAAACCTAAGTTTGGGATCAGGCTCTGCCACTTTTTAATTTTCTTTTTGAGACAGAGTCTCAACAATGTCGCTCTCGGTAGAGTGCTATGGCGTCACAGCTCACAGCAACCTCCAACTCTTGGGCTTAAGCGATTCTCTTAAGCCTCAGCCTCCCAAGCAGCTAGGACTACAGGCGCCGGCCACAACGCCCGGCAGTATTTTTTCTTTTTGCAGTTGTCATTGTTGTTTAGCAGGCCTGGGCAGGGTTTGAAACCGCCTGCCTTGGTTTATGTGGCCCGTGCCCTAACCACTGAGCTACAGGTGCAGAGCCTCTGCCACTTTTAATTTAATTTAATTTAATTTATTTTGCGGGTTTTGGCTGGAGACTGGGTTTGAACCCCCACCCTCTGGCATATGGGGCGGGCGCCCTACTCTTTTGAGCCACAGGCACTGCCCTATTATTTATTTATTTTGAGAGACAGAGTCTCACTTTATTGCCCTTGGTAGAGTGCTGTGGCGTCACAGCTCACAGCAACCTCCAACTCCTAGGCTTAGGCGATTCTCTTGCCTCAGCCTCCCAGTAGCTGGGACCACAGGTGCCTGCCACAATGCAGCTTTTTTTTTTTTTTTTTTGAGACAGAGCCTCAAGCTGTCACCCTGGGTAGAGTGCCATGGCTTCACTGCTCACAGCAACCTCCAACTCCTGGGCTCAAGCTAGTCTCCTGTCTCAGCCTCCCAAGTAGCTGGGACCACAGGCGCCCGCCACAACGCCCGGCTATTTTTTTGGTTGCAGCCATTGTTTGGCGGGCCCGGGCTAGATTCAAACCTGCCACCTTAGGTGTATGTGGCTGGCGCCGAGCCCGCAGCTTTTTTTTTATTGCAGTTTGGCCAGGGCTGGGTTTGAATCCACCACCCTTGGTATATGGGGCTGGTACCCAACTTACTGAGTCACAGGCACCGCCCCTCTGCCCCTTTTTAGATGTGTGTCCAGAACAACTTGCTTAACCTTTCTGAGTCTGTTTCTATTTCTACAGGGATGTCTTAGTCCACTTCATAGGACTTTCATGAGTTTCAGTAAGATAATAAGTAAAAGTAGCAATTCCATTGATGGTGCAAAGGAAGTATCTGTAAATGAAAGCTATTATCATAGTTCTGGAAATTTAGTTGTTCCAAACACATGTAAGAACAAGATGACTTGGAGGGGGACAGGTTTGTATGGTACAAACCTTTCTCAAAAAAAGAAAAGACATGCCTACATGGGAAAACACCTTGAGGAAAGTTAGAGAAGTTGTGTTCAGAAGGGATGGTAGCATGAGTAAGATGAAAGGCTTGTTCTTTGCAGCAGAAGCAGGCTGCAAAAGGATGGGATCAGGTCACCCTTAGAAATAACCTTTTTTTTGGAGACAGAGTCTCACTTTGTCACCCTTGGTAGAGTGCAGTGGTGTCATAGCTCATAGCAACCTCAAACTCCTGGGCTTAAGCCATTCTTTTGCCTCAGCCTCCAAAGTAGCTGTGACTGCAGGCACGCCCACCCCAACACCTGGCTTTTTTTTTTTTTTTTTAGATAGAGGTGGGGTCTCTAGTTCAGGCTGGTCTCAAGCCTGTGAGCTCAGGTAATCCACCTGCCTTGGCCTCCCAAGTGCTGGGATTACAGGTGTGAGCCACCATGCCCAGCTCTGCCCCAGCTTCCTGAATAGCTGGGACTACAGGTGCCTGCCACGATGCTCAGCTACTTTTAGAGATGAGGTCTCACTCTGGCTAAGGCTGAGCTCAGGGAATCCACCCAACTGGGCCTTCTAGAGTGCTATGATTACAGGTGTGAGCCACTGGCATGGCCCTCAGAAAGAACTAACTTTCTTTTTTTTTAGAGACAGTCTTACTTTGTCACCCTTGGGAGAGTGCTATGGCATCACAGCTCACAACAACCTCCAGCTTTTGGGCCTAGGTGATCCTCCTGCCTTAGCCTCCGGAGTAGCTGGGAGTACAGTTGCCACAACTCCCAGCTATTTTTTTTGCTGCAGTTTGGCTGCACCCGGGTTGGAACCCACCACCCTCCTACTCATTGAGCTACAGGCACCACCCCAGAAAGAACTTTCTTAATCTGGGACAGGCTGCCATGTCCTCTAAAATAATGTGCTTCGGGAGACTATAGAATGTTTTTGACAATGGACTGGATGGAATTGAGCATTTTGAGGTTAGAATTCTTTGGTTTTAGGTGACAAAATCTAATCTTTGTGGAGGGCTTACTAAGGACCAGATTTATCAAAATAAATTAATGAGATTTGTGGTGTTATCTCCATTGTATAGAGAAGATTGCAGTGAGATTAAGTAATTTGCCCAGGGTCATTTAGTAATAAGTGACAACAGTGAGTTCCATACTAACCCTTATTGTGTATTTCTTTTTTTTAATAGGAGATGAAGTCTCTGTATCTGGTAGTAGGGGTGTGTACTACCATGCTTTCTTTTTTTTTTTTTTTTTTTTTTTTTTTTGAGACAGAGCCTCAAGCTGTCCCCCTGGGTAGAGTGCCATGGCATTACAGCTCACAGCAACCT